TTTTCTGTGGATCTATGGCATTTTTAAAATCCTGCTTTTCCTCCAGGGAGTTCAGAGTAACCTATATAATTCTCCCTACCCCGTTTTATTCCCGCAACGACCCCGTGAAGTAGGTTAGGAGAGGGGGAAGTGATTGGACTGTGGTCACGCAATGAGTGGCCACTGGAACTTGGCTCATCTCAGTCTAGCACAGGGCTGGCCAAACTTGCTTGGCATAAGAGCCACACGGAATAAACGTCAGATGTTTGAGAGCCGCAGGACATGAATAGATATTGCACACACGTTTTTATTTTAAGATATGCAGATTTGCTTTTAACTAACATTAAACGAGACTGCCAAAAATAAAACCCAAAGGGGTAAAAACTAGGGCTGCCAAGTGGGGGCGGGTGGCGGGTAAACCCGAAGGGCAGCTCCCGGAGCCCGGGGAGGCTCCCCCGCCAGTAGGATATTTTTACTTGGCAACCCTAGTAAAAACAGATATTGAGAATGATATTTATTTGTCCAATATTTATTTGTTTGCTAATGATATTTATTTGTCAGAGAGAGAGAGAGAGAGAGATGGAAAGAAAGTGTGAGAGAGAGAGAGAAAGTGAGAGAGAGAGAGAGAGAGAGAGAGAGAGAGAGAAAGTGGAAGGAAGGAAGGCATGCCTCCCCTTCTCTTCCCCAGCCACCCTGCCGGGAGCCACACAATATGTGTGAAAGAGCCACGTGTGGCTGCCGAGCCACAGTTTGGCCACCCCAGGTCTAGCACTTTGAGAGCTGCCCCACTCTCTCACGGGTTAAGAGCTGAAGTGAGCAGAGGTCTTGAATCCACTGGGTCTCTCCTTCACGCTGGATGTGAAGCAGAAAGCTAGAGAAAGGAACAGATGTGACATAAAGCACCAGATGAAGAGAAGTGAACTTCAAAGGGCACTGGGTGTTTATTGTCTAATGTGCTCACCATTGCGGTCTCTGAGGGCCTCGTAAATAGTCGCAAGGATGCCAGATGTTCACAGTCCCTTTTTTTTGGTCGCTTGTCGGCCAGCTTTATCACCACTCCAAGAACCCTTCCAAATGCAAGATTATGCAAGAAACCTTTTATAATCTCCTGTACAAGCAGCGCTCTCATTTTTGCAGCGCCACTGAAGAGTGCATTTGTTCTCAGAACACCTTGGTATAAGAAAAGAATAAGTGCTTCAGACAATTAAATACTCATTTTGTTTGTTTATCCGAGTTGTTTATATCACAGTTTTCCCCTGATCAAGGGGATTCGCCTTTTGCATCTTTTTGAGGTTCCTTTTTTCTTGGTGGTTTATATATTCACGTACACCCACCCACCCAGTCTTCATGATGGCGATCTCACTTTGCAGTAGTTGTCAGACACTGTGGAGAAGGTGCTTGCACAGGTTTGATCAGGGGTCATTTCATAGAAAAAGAGCTAGGGGGACTCATTAGCATAACTCATTAGCATATGCCACACCCCCTGACATCAGGGGCCCGGCGGTGGACCTGCAAGGCCAGCGGGAGTGCGAGGAAGCCCCGCCAAGGCCCTCCCTGGCCCCAGGCAGGCAGGGGTGGGGAGAGGCGGGGAGGAAGCAACTTACCCTCCCTCTTCTCCTGCCTCCTCCTGGCTGAATGAGGGCTGGAAGCAGGGCAGCCGGAAGCAGGGGGCGGGGCTTCTTCATGTGCCCCGCCCCCCTGCACCTCACCCGGTGGAACTGCGTTCCCCCGTGTTCCCCCCGAAATGACCTCTGGGTTTGATTAAATTAGGCACACAAAGATTTCACCTAAGA